TTTTTTTTTTTTTTTTTTTTTGAGACAGAGCCTCAAGCTGTCACCCTGGGAAGAGTGCCATGGCATTATAGCTCACAGCAAGCTCCAACTTCTGGGCTTAAGCAATTTTCTTGCCTCAGCCTCTCAAGTAGCTGGGACTACAGGTACCCATCACAGATATTTTTTGGTTATAGTTGTCATTTTTGTTTGGCAGACCCGAGCTGGATCCGAACCCACCAGCTCTAGAGTGTGCGGCTGGCGCCTTAGCCGCTTGAGCTACAGGCACCAAGCCAAGACCAGAAAACTTTTTATCACTTCCCAGGCAAATTCTTAGATCAGAGCCGACGTGCTCTTGGCCATCCTTTCCATCCATCCCCTAGTGAGTGGCCTTGACTTTTCTTACCATCTGCCTGTATGAAAGCTCTACACGGGCAACACAGGATGCAAACTTTGGGACACTCTAAACCACGCAGCACAAATCTCAATTTGGTTAGGAAACTTTGAAGTTCTTTTTCTTTTTTTAAGGTTTGGCCAACATACAATAAAACAATCATTTAAAAACTTAACTCTCCATCAATGGTTCCTTCTTTCACTGTGAAGTAGCACCTGCCCTTAGGGAGCCACAAGTGCAGGCCACAGGTGGTTGGTCATGCTCCCCTTATCCCTAAAAGCTTTTAGAAGCTTTGCAACCCACACAAAACCTACACATAACCAAGGCGTCCATTGTTTTGCTTCCCAACCCAGCCCTGTCCAATAGAACTACTTCAGCGGCAGAAATGTTCTGTATCTACATTGTGGAACATGGTCCCCACTAACCACATACACCTGCTAAGCACGTGAAATGTGGCTTATGTGATGGAGGAACTCCCTTTTTACATTTTATCTGATTTAAATTACTTGGTATTTAAATTTAAATGGCCACACGTGGCCAGTGGCTACTCTGTGTAGCCAGTGGTACAGAACTAGCCCCTTCAAACCCACGTCTGACCCCTCCTCTACCTATACTTCAAGGTTCCTGCAGTCAGCAGACACATGACTTGAACACCACGTGACGGCAGGGAAAATTGGGGGGATGCAAAGATAAATATGATTCATTTCTAGAAACCTGACACTCACGATTCAGTTGAAGAGAGACCCATCAGACCCCCATGACTGCAGTTACTACAATGAAACACGGAGGGTGCCTGAAGGACACAGCTGCAGTGTAGGATGGAGACGTTGAACGAAGGTGCACAGATGGGGTTCCCCCAGACACAGACCCTGAGCAAAGATCTGAGAGCTGAAAGTTTATTTGCAAAATGTAGGAAACTCCAGTGGGAGTGGGGGTGAGGAAATGAAGCAGGAAGGTGCCAACAAAGGGTATATTACAAAGGGGTGGGGCTGTGATGAAAGCTAAAGGCACTGGGAAGCTCTGGGAAGCTGTGTAACACACTCTCAGTTACCCCAGTGGCGGGGTCAGGGAATCAGGGCTTTTATATTCCACTTGGGCAGGTCATTGGCTGGAGGCTGCTCCCAGGGGATGTTAATTGCCCAGCACCTGCCTTGCCAGGGCAGAGAGCCCTTCTCAGCTTTGGGAAAAGCTCCTTGGGCAACACGATGGAGATACTGATTGTTGGAAGCCAGCAAGGCACACTTGGTATAGGCTTGAGAGATAAAGCACTTGCTACATATCTGAGCTGGT